CTGAACAGGTACACGTAGTATTCTGTGTTACTGGACTTATGACACAAATTACAATGTATACATATATAGGTTTTGTTTTTTCAAAGCATTGTAAGTGTTTTCTTTACATTGCTCAAATGAAATACACTTAGTCTGTGAAGTGAAACCTTGCAGATCAGTTTTAAAATAAGGTGAAATATCATTAGTAAAACATAAATATCAAGTAAAATACTCGTTGTTATTAATTATCATTTTGGACAAGACCAGTGGTACGGGTACAAAATGTAGTAAGGACAACACCTCTGTACTGTAGACTGCCTATCCAGTAAATTATATCGAATTAAGGATTATTATTGTACAATGTGACTATCAGTGGAAGATCTGGACTGCTTACTTATCAAGAAAAAACACGTCTAGTTTATCTCACTAAGTTAATTACGAAATTTTAAGGACGAGGAAGTTTTAGGAAACCCCTACATCATGGTCTATAGACAATGATAATGATATTATAACGCTATAATAGCTATATTTTACTGAGGGGAAGTTTTAGGAAACCCCTACACCATAGTCTATAGACAATGATATCATAATACTATAATAGTTAAACTCTATGATGTAACATATATACTGTCACACGTACAATGTATATAGAGACTTATCATAAGATACTTTATCTAAAACCTGATATAATCATCTAATCATAACAAGGCTGACACGCAGAACAGCCTTCCTTCAAATGCAGCAAACGTAAAGTCGTTTAAACTATTTAAGTATGAAGTAGATCAACACTGGCAAAATCCGCAAAAATTTGAAAGAAAAAAATAGCAATATTTTATGTATATAGTTTAAGTTAGATACAGTAGGGCCAAACACTGAATTAAACTGCATCTGTTTCGTCCTTCTAGGACTGGTCAGTGATGCTACATCATACAGCTGTGTCGTCCTTCTAGGACTGGTCAGTGATGTTACATCATACAGCTGTGTCGTCCATCTAGGACTCGTCAGTGATGCTACATCATACAGCTGTGTCGTCCTTCTAGGACTCGTCAGTGGTGCTACATCATACATATGTGTCGTCCTTCTAGGACTCTTCAGTGACGCTTTAACATACAGCTGTTTCGACCTTCAAGGACTCGGCCAATAATGCCAACGGGCCAAAATAATTTTGAAGCCTAGGAGGTGACAAAGGAAAATCAAAGACATGGTGGGAGGCTGGTGGGGGTGGGGTTGGTGGTCAGTTGCCGACATCTTGTACGAAAATCGAGATATTGGAGAACGAGACCCTAACTATCGAATTAACTGCGACATATTGGGAATGCAGTAATATTGCTCTCCCAAAATAGACAACCAGCAATAGGTAAATTGAAAACATTGTTTGTCATTCAACTTGGCGTAATGCTTCGTTTTAAGAAAAGATCGAGATAAGCGGCTGATGTAGAAGAGTCTGTCGTGATCTTGATTTCACAATGTGGTTGGTATATATGAAGGACATAGTTAATAAATCTCTTGTTATTTAAACACAAGATGCCATCAATATAACGGTATATGAAAAAGAGATTGCAAGACTTTGGAAGGTTTTTGTGACCTAATTTGATAAGTTTACTATGAATTCAGTTTCATAAAAAGTCAATACAACGACACACTTTGTCCCAATAGTTACTTTTTTGAAACGTAACATTCGATTGCGTTTCAACGCTATTGTCATTTGTCTATGACAAGTGAAAGTTAATTACTCTAAAATAATTTGAATTTCAATATCAAATAACTGTATGATTAAGTAAATATCAGATTTGATAATGGAAGAATATATCCAGTTTCTTCCTAAATGCCTTAGCTGTGGTGCACTTTCATTCATTGTCCACCATGACAATTCAAGTCTTGATAAAACTAGTCAGAATTCACATCTAGTGTTTGTGTTTATTTCCAGTTGTCTAACGATTATTTCTTACTCAGGCCATTTAATTTATCTCTATGAAGACTATTTGTAATTCTGTTCGCCTCTACCATGTTACTCAAGGTTGGGTTATCTCCCTTGTATTGATAATTGTAGGACCGCCTTATCACCATTGAAACCTCTCGTCCTTCCAATTTCCGGCGTTTGGTTTCTATTGTTCCTTTCAGATTTGTATGTACTCTTTGGAAATCGCCAAGGCTTCAATAAACGAGCAATGACCAACTTTAATATGTTTAAGACAATCTATAGCTGAGGTCCAAACAGTTCAAATATCTTAGTTTATGCCATCTCTTCATTATACAAAAAATGCGCTCTGTGAGATCTCTGTAGAAATGAATGGAGACCAATATGTCATGTTAATATCGTTTATTAAAGATTTCTCTAATATAATCTTGATGGTTTGTTAAACCTGTTCTCAACAATGTTAATATGTAAATAACATCACAGATTTGTTTAAAAACTTTTAAGATATAATGTTTATAGTCATAAAGATGATTACAGCTTCAATAAGAACACGTATACATAAGCAACAAATTTCTAATATAATTACGAAATTAAACACAACGATTGTTCAATGTTCAAGTTAAATGTTAATGTATTACTGACGGGAATATTACACAAAAATTAAGATTATGTATCCAGAAAAAATACAAACAAACTAGACGTGAACAAATGAACAAATTGAACAGAAGATGATGTCACGGACTTACATATAGTACACCCAAGCCTGTGACAATATTAACAAAATTTTATAAAGTAAAACATTATTATAAACAATACTGAACAGATTATACAGGTGTAGTTCTATTGGGCAGGTAATAAAATGTAACAAATCGTGTTAATCACGGGTGGGAATAATTACGGCGAGTATTGTTACAAAAGTTAATGTTTCAGCTCTACCTTCACTGAAGACAAACAAGTGTCATTGTTCGAGTGAATGAGTGAAAGGCCATCGAGTGGATGATCTAGCAAAAACTGTTTTCTCTTCAAGGTTGACCAAAGTACAAAGCTAGTTCTGTAAAATTTCCACCAGACGAAAACAGATACGACCTATTACATAACCATTAAGTAAAACTTAAGAATAATGATAAAAATCTCAAAAGATATGTACAGATACACCTTCAATGTGAAAGTAGAGCATAAATATATAGACACGTTACTATTTATAGGCATGTGTCATATACCAGGAACCCAAGACTGTTAAGAAACAACCAGACATAGGCCAGTTATTATAAAAGGAACAGATATATGTGGTTTATATTTACAACCCCAAGTCATTCTGCTCTCAGTATAAACAGCCACCCTTGTAGCTTACTTCATTTAACTATTGCTATTTGTGGAACACCTAGTTAATATATATTTTGATCATTGCTATATTTTTGGTTAAGTAGCTAAGCTATCATGGCTTTTATTGTTATTTGCGGAACACATTAATATATTTAGTTAAAATTTCAATCGATCACTTGACGTGTCAAACGAGGGTTGATTGATAAGTTGTGAGCTTTGTATTGAATTAAGCAGGGATGTTCTGGTATCATTTGGTCATTTTATGTCGAAGAGATTACACTCTAAAGTAAACATGGCAAGTGACTTTCGCAAAATGGACAAAATCGCTGAAAGAGCAGTGATTCACTATTTGCATAAAAAAGGTTTAGCACCTAAGGATATCCATACTGATATAGTAGCAACATTAAGCAATGAAGTCCCTTGATAAGCTACAGTGAAAAGGTGGGTGGCGGAATTCAAGCGTGATAGACAGAGCCTTGGGGATGACGCCCGTCCTGGAAGGCCTGTCACTTTTGACCCCAGAAATGACCAATAAAGTCCATGATATTGTTATGGCTGACAGGCGAGTTACAGAGAAAGAGCCAGCATAGTTTGGATTTCACAAGAAAGAGAACATTCCATTCTTACGGAAGATCTTGCAATGAGAAAGCTTTCAGCCCATCGGGCACCATGACTTCTGACAGTCGATCAGAAGCACATAAGGCGGACTTTGTCGTGTTCTTATCTAAACATTTTAGAGGCAGGCCCTGCTAAGTTTCTGCAGTGGTTTGTGACTATGTATGGAACATGGGTCCATTATTTCATCCCATAGACCAAACAACAGTCTAAACAATGGAAGCACCCTGGTTCACCCACCAAAATAGGCAATGACTGTTTCATCAGCTGGAAAGGGTGAGGCCTCAGTTTTCTGGGATGTTAATGATATTCTATTGATAGGTTATCTGCAAAAGTGACAAACAATCAATGACACATATTATGCCGCATCACTTCTTCTACAGTTATGATAAAATATTAAAGTCAAGCGCCGCAGAAAACACAGTAAAGGTTGTTCCACCAGAACAATGACCTTGCTCACAAGTCTGTCATCCCAATGACTGCCATATACGATTGTGGCTTTGAACTGATTGTACATCCACTTTATTAACCTGATCTCGCTTCATCAGACTTTCACCTATTTTCAAAATTGAAAAAGGCCATTTGCGGTACCTACTTCCGGTCAGATGATAACGGCACACATGCAGTTGACGACTTTCAGAATGGTCAAGAAAGAGATTTAGCCAAAAGTTGCATGGAGACCCTAAAACATCGCTGACGTAAGTGTGTAGACACTGAAGGGGATTGATTATACTGAAAAATGATGCAATATATCCACCAAAAGTAAAACCCTTAAACATGGGCTCACAACTTATCAATCAGCGCTCGTAAATCGATATCATGCGTTTACAGGCTTAGCTCACTTGTTCAGAACTAAGTGAGTAGTGAAAATTTTGATTTGATGCCACTGAAGAAACAAGGGCTTTCAAAGCAAAATATCAATCTTACCTGTAATGACGAAGAATGTTTCAACTTTCGATTCTTTCTTATTTTAAATTTTTCGTAAACCTTTGGTTAATTTTAACCAATCATTGAGCAACTGGGGCCCCGGTCTTTCACAATAGGCGTGTAACATACATTAACAGAAAATCCTGTAAAAGCAGGTCGTGTGAATCTCATACAACAATACATTTGTGGACATGCTCATTATTTGGTATTAGAGTTCTAATGTCTTTTCACATTCTGTTCATACTTTTTGGTTAATGTTTAGGATAGTTTTCTGTTTAGTGGTCAGAAGCTTATCAGATGCCTTAGGGGCGTCTTCCTTGTCCTCAACGCTGATTGGACCAAATTTAGAAAACAATATAGGTAACAAGATGACGGCATGAGCGAGTCCGAACAGGAAAACAAGTATCATCATTTTAAAAAATGTTCTGAAGATGTAGGAGGAGGAGAAAATCAAAAGTGTGATCCCGATAATAGAAGAAAGAGCAGCATTGAAGACGGGAGCCCCCGCACGCTCGAGTGCCGCATTTACACGTACGTCGCGGGTGTTTCCCTGCACTGTGATGAAGGCGTGGCACATGTGCGCACTGGAGTCGACAGAAAAGCCAATACACATGATGAGTTCGATCATGGTAACTGTGCTTAATGTCATGTCCCAGTAGTACATAAACCCACACACACCAAGCAGGATCGTTGTCATGGTGATCGTTACACAAGCGATCAGAAAGGGATGAGGCATGAATAAGATCGTCATCACACAGATTACAACGATCGCAATACCCATAGTTGTTAACGTATTCGGCAATATGGCGGCAAATTGTTCAAAATCAAAGAACCAGTAACTGTATGCAATCAAAGGAAGTTCGAAATTATCGGCAATTCTGCGAACGTTGAGCATCATGTCTCCCTGGTCATTTGTAGAGGTGACGTCATTAGAAATTACGTAAAATCGTGAAGCTACGATTTCAGTTAAAGTTGGGTCAAATATGACGTCGTTCACATGATCTGGACGTGCGGATAAGAACCGTTTGAGACCAGTCACAAACTCCGATTTATTGCCCTCTTTGTACTGGGTAGATGCTACGTAGTCACGTAACCAGTTAATTTCGAGGTCAGAGTTCACATATTGATCACGTCTTGCCATTGCAAGGATTTCAGCTATTTTCTGTTGTAACATTGGATCATGGTAATTTTGGGGCGAGGTAAAGGTAAATGCAACCGGAACTTCAATTGTAAAATGATCTTCTATCAGTTTAGCATATGTGTGATAATATGAACTTTTGTCGACAATATTGCTGAGGAGTAGACCTTCCCTTAAATGTACACAACCGAATACAGCTGCTGACAGATATCCGATAAACAGGATAATAGAACACACCCTGAATCCCGAACTCGCCAGCGCTTTCTGCAAAAGATACTTCGGTAACGACTCCAGAAGTCCCTCATTATCACTTCGAATGCGCGGGGCTTCTCCACCGCAACACAACGCTAAACATTTGGAATGCCCTTCAGCAACGAGCTCTTGCCTGGACTTGGTGGGAAGACACGTGGCACAGTGTCTTCTAGCAGCTACACGTCTCTCGTTGATAACCATACACGGCATGAAGAAGGCAAGCTGATTTAGGTAGCAAAAGATGATAGCCGTACCTGTACAAACAACATTTATTTAATCTAGATGCTACTCAATATTTGGGTTTCAACAAGAAATTAAAAAAAAAAAAAAACAAAAACAAAACACCAGTTTTCACCATCAAAACTTTCATTTTAACTTTTTATATGATTTTGTATACTTTCTGAATTGTGATTCGAAAGTTTTCTTACGTTTTTTGTATACTTAATGGAAACAATAAAAATAGTCTCACCAGTAAAAAGACAGAAGTTTTGCACTCCAAGGAATACGGAAGTAGCTCCTATAGCAAATGCCAGGAAGTCGGTAACAGACGTGATGGTGATGGCCACGCCCCCTGTTCTCATAGTATGCATGATTCGCTCTTCGACAGAACTCTTTACGTCTGCATCAGCCAGGCAAGACATCAGAATAAACATGTCGTCCAAACCAATTCCTACATGAAAGACATAAAATTAAGATAACAGACAATATGATAGCAAAAAGGCTAGAGTGACCATGGGTTAACTTAAAAGGTCGTCATAATCAACCAATAAATTCAGAGACAGAAAGATGGAAACAAAAATAAGCAGTGGTTTAAATGCCTTTCTGGGAGAAATAAAATATATTTCTTCAATATAAAGAGTGAACGTGACCTACTCACCTAGCACGAGGAACGGCATTATCCCAACGATCTCTACGTACTTTATCCCGATGACACTGAGCAGTCCAAGTGAAGAGGCGATAGCAAGGCAAGTAGCTAAAACACTGGCGCGACCAAGATTTTGTCTCTCTGAAACACAGTTTCCGCCAGAGGTCGCGCAACTCGCGTAAACCAACATTATCAAAATTGTAAGACAAAAGAACTTCAAATCACCGCTAATGTTCTTACTTAATTCTTCGTCTTTTGAAATGGAGGCCGCATAAGCAACTGAGATGATCGGTGAATCAAATGAGGTCATGGCATCTACAAAGATCTTCTCCCAGTCCGCTGATCTCCTTAAGGCTTCCTTCGTGTCTTGTCGTAGGTAGTAACGTAGAAAAATCATCGAGGAGAATTCAAGAGTCCCGTTAGAAGATTGTATGTCTCCGAAATTGGTACTAATGACATTTCTGGAAAATATTGGGAACGTGACATTTTTCATCAGAAGATGTTCCATAAAGTTGGCAGTAAAGAGAAAATCTCCTGAGACTACACAGTGTCCATTCCGTAAGGCACAAACTTCAGAAAAAGTAGAAATGGTTCCATTCTTTGTTTGGTTGATATTTCTTACAAATGTGTCCACACGCTTCACTTCATCCAGATATGATGGTGTCAAAATATTGGACCCATCTTTCGTCTGCACAATCACGTGACATTCCTTATTGAGTCCTGTGATTCCTCGAGGGAAAAAGTTGGACCCGGACTTGTCGGTAAACAGTTTGTCGAGACGTGCTTTGTCGTCGTAGGCTCGGGCTCCACGTGGAGTATACAAGACCTCTGTGTCTGTCTCAGACTCCAGGTGAAAGACGCCAAAGCCAAACACGGCACAGTTCAGGGCTATGCAGACAGTGATGATGATTACTGGATAACGACTGACCAGTCGTCCGTATATCTCAAACACGCGCCCGAGGCGTTCCTCGTGCTGTTTGTAGAACTTTGCGATTGACATTTTGTGATTTTCTACAACAAAAACATTGGGGTATTTGTATTATTTACGGTTACAAAAATCCTAAAGGGACAATTTACATAATGTTGTAATTCTGTTATCTGTTAGTGGTCATCACATTTAGATATAGTATTGGTAATATTGAGGTATGGTACAAAATACGCTACAATTGTACATGTATTTAAACAATTAAGTCTTAAACAGTATATATTATAACATGTGATCTATTGAAATTTTTTATGAATGCCTATAGGATTTCATGAAAGATTTGCCGGAAAGGCATTTTGCAATTGTGTCGGATATAATTATATTTACTAAATACTTCAATCATTTAACTTGACGTCAACATTTTGAGTAATATTAATCTGGTATGCTGTTAGACTGAGGGGAAAACCTCACTTTAAACGATAGTGCAAATGGAAACAGCAATAAAATGGGACTAGTTGTAATCATAACCGCACCATTTCATTGACCGCGAAGTACTCTCGTTATGAGAATGTAGATAAGTACAATACACAAAGGTACGATATTACTATTCGTTGGATATATATTTTAAATTAAGCTTAATCTATTGGTTTCCTTTTCAGATGTTTACTATGGTGTGCAATCATTGTGTAAATTAGATTACATATAGAGGTAAGAATTCTATAACTTCATTTAGAAAAAATGTTGTTAGTGAAACACATTCAGCGGGAAAAAACATTAAAACATGGTGATTTATGTTGTCCGTACGTTTTATAGATAACTTTCTAAAGTTTCCTAAATACTTCGTCGGTGAGACAACGCCATGGTTAATAATTTCATTTTCTGCTATAATTCATGATAATGTAGGTTTGAGCTAATTATAATATTGATAACAACTCGCAAGTATTAACAATTCTGTTCGTATGCATCCTTTTTGTAGCAGGCATTTTTAGGAGTTCGCTTCGGCTATCGAAAGTCAGTGATCGAGATATAATATTTGTATTATGGTATTAAACCGACCGAAATATTGGCCCGATGGAGATTTGACTTCATAATTGTGTATTTTAATGGCTTATCTTTTGTATTATTAAATGATATTGAAAAAACAAGGCCATGAAATTATATAGAGTTAAGTTACTATAACAATATCTGCGCGATAACACAGAAGACCAATATACTGTTATATTTACCCAGCTACTTCATTTCCTCAATTAATTAACTTATTAATTCATTTGAGTTAACAACTTAGCCTAAAGCCTGTTTCTGTATCCTAGTAGTTTACCTACCTCTTACTGTGTCACTGTCCACTGTAGATCCGGTCTCGTCTATGTATGTATCACGCAACAAGTTCCTTTTTATTAAAACAAAATACCTGTCATGCTTCGAGAAATATCACTAGCTGATGGATATCGGAAAAGAAAGCACACTGTTCTAGGTAGAGAATTAACCATGTGTGTAAACTGTCCCGATCTAGGATCACGTGATCACTGATTGACAGCGTTGCGTACAAGTTATATATGTATTACAGTTTTTGTTTCTGAACACGAAAGACGCACACATATGGTTTTCCTTGTAAAAATCTTCAGTACTTATAAACACTTCTGTTTTAGCTTGTATTTAACAACGTTATCGATAGGTTTATGTTTATCTCTTCGGTCCCTCCTTCTCCCCGTGTTGTTAATTAACTTGTTAATACCAATAAAAAATGTACAATGTATATATGACAAACATGGTCAAATCACAGTAAATTTACGCTATCGAACTACTTGGTAAATACTAATATAAACGTATCTTATACCTTTAAAGTGAAACATTTTTCCGGGTGAGTATCATAATGTTAATTTTGTATTCAATTGTTGTAAACCTAAAAGATTCTGTGTTTAAGGCACTACAAGTTGTGATGTATATAAGGCCATGTTTATACCCAGTTTATCTATTAGTTTGAGTGTTAATATTCATATAGGAGAAGTGACTGTGGTATTAGGAAACTTATAATAGTGGCGTTTCTCTCGAACTACAGTGAACAATGAGAAATATTTAGATCAAACTATTTATGTTACAGTGTCAACAGATGACTGACATACTTGAAACCATGGATAAACTGTCAAGTCACAGTATTAACCAAGTCTGGATAGGAAGGACTTTGTACTAGGCGGAGAATATTCTACCCTGAATTCGGAATAGTTTAGAACACGGTGACCTAGATAGATAGAAGTGCAAAGTCTAAATCTTTTTAAAGATGAAATTAAACTAAAAATACAAATAGTTATTGTTGTTTACAATTATTTCACGCATCAGTAAGACGGACTTTGCTCTCGAACTTTTCCTAATTGTCCACCTGTATGAGTACATTGGTGTGAACAAACACATTGGAGACCAATATATTTAAAATATCTTCCTTTGATAGCCGGTTTTAGGATTAGATTTCTGGTTATTACATAAGTGTCGTATGTATGACTGTTTTTAAATCCGAAGTCCACATTCTTCACTAAATCAAGCCATTGGAAATGCCAGTGTTTCTGATAAAGAATGTGAACCTGTAACAAGGGTCAATATGTCATCTAGGTTTTTAAACATACCATGAGTTGTCCTTACTTCTGTACCATTTCTTTACCCTCTGTGTACTACAGAGTATGAAACATTAGTGTGTCTCGAGAGGGCTATAGGTATCATAAGATAGTTAATTTATGGATCAATCAGGGTGTATTTCCTATACATTTTTAGACCAATATTTGCGAGAAAAAAATTATTGCAGATAAGTGGACATCGATTCTGTTCAGTCGTCTTGGTAACCAATCATACAATAACTAACGTATCCATGAACCCGTTTCTGACATCTTCCTTAAAAAGCTGTGGTCATAGAATTGGAAATTCCCAGTTGTTAACTTTGGCTGGTTTGTAGATACAATCGACTCAGGACCTAGGTCATGGATTGTTGTAGCACGGACAATGGTCATCAAACATTCATGTATCCTACAAATACAGGTGTTATGTTATGGAACACTATTGTTTTATAACGTGACGAGATAACTCCATTGTTCATTGATTAGTAAGATTTGGATAATAGAATGACGCGAGGGTCAGTCGGGGAAAGTGTTCTAGATGGTCTGGTCGGTCGGGGAAAGTGTTCTAGATGGTCTGGTCGGTCGGGGAAAGTGTTCTAGATGGTCTGGTCAGTCGGGGAAAGTGTTCTAGATGGTCTGGTCAGTCGGGGAAAGTGTTCTAGATGGTCTGGTCAGTCGGGGAAAGTGTTCTAGATGGTCTGGTCAGTCGGGGAAAGTGTTCTAGATGGTCTGGTCAGTCGGGGAAAGTGTTCTAGATGGTCTGGTCAGTCGGGGAAAGTGTTCTAGATGGTCTGGTCGGTCGGGGAAAGTGTTCTAGATGGTCTGGTCAGTCGGGGAAAGTGTTCTAGATGGTCTGGTCAGTCGGGGAAAGTGTTCTAGATGGTCTGGTCAGTCGGGGAAAGTGTTCTAGATGGTCTGGTCAGTCGGGGAAAGTGTTCTAGATGGTCTGGTCAGTCGGGGAAAGTGTTCTAGATGGTCTGGTCGGTCGGGGAAAGTGTTCTAGATGGTCTGGTCAGTCGGGGAAAGTGTTCTAGATGGTCTGGTGGGAACAGTGTTCTAGATGGTCTGGTCGGTCGGGGAACAGTGTTCTAGATGGTCTGGTCAGTCGGGGAAAGTGTTCTAGATGGTCTGGTCAGTCGGGGAAAGTGTTCTAGATGGTCTGGTCAGTCGGGGAAAGTGTTCTAGATGGTCTGGTCAGTCGGGGAAAGTGTTCTAGATGGTCTGGTCAGTCGGGGAAAGTGTTCTAGATGGTCTGCTCAGTCAGGAACAGTGTTCTAGATGGTCTGCTCAGTCAGGAACAGTGTTCTAGATGGTCTGGACAGTCGGGGAAAGTGTTCTAGATGGTCTGGTCGGTCGGGGAAAGTGTTCTAGATGGTCTGGTCAGTCGGGGAAAGTGTTCTAGATGGTCGGGGAAAGTGTTCTAGATGGTCTGGTCGGTCGGGGAAAGTGTTCTAGATGGTCTGGTCGGTCGGGGAAAGTGTTCTAGATGGTCTGGTCAGTCGGGGACAGTGTTCTAGATGGTCTGGTCAGTCGGGGAAAGTGTTCTAGATGGTCTGGTCAGTCGGGGAAAGTGTTCTAGATGGTCTGGTCAGTCGGGGAAAGTGTTCTAGATGGTCTGGTCGGTCGGGGAAAGTGTTCTAGATGGTCTGGTCAGTCGGGGAAAGTGTTCTAGATGGTCTGCTCAGTCAGGAACAGTGTTCTAGATGGTCTGGTCGGTCGGGGAAAGTGTTCTAGATGGTCTGGTCAGTCGGGGAAAGTGTTCTAGATGGTCAGTGTTCTAGATGGTCTGGTCGGGGAAAGTGTTCTAGATGGTCTGGTCAGTCAGGGGAAAGTGTTCTAGATGGTCTGGTCAGTCAGGGAAAGTGTTCTAGATGGTCTGGTCAGTCGGGGAAAGTGTTCTAGATGGTCTGGTCAGTCAGGGACAGTGTTCTAGATGGTCTGGTCGGTCGGGGAAAGTGTTCTAGATGGTCTGGTCGGTCGGGGAAAGTGTTCTAGATGGTCTGGTCAGTCGGGGAAAGTGTTCTAGATGGTCTGCTCAGTCAGGAACAGTGTTCTAGATGGTCTGGTCGGTCGGGGAAAGTGTTCTAGATGGTCTGGTCGGTCGGGGAAAGTGTTCTAGATGGTCTGCTCAGTCAGGAACAGTGTTCTAGATGGTCTGGTCGGTCGGGGAAAGTGTTCTAGATGGTCTGGTCAGTCGGGGAAAGTGTTCTAGATGGTCTGGTCAGTCGGGGAAAGTGTTCTAGATGGTCTGGTCAGTCGGGGAAAGTGTTCTAGATGGTCTGGTCAGTCAGGAACAGTGTTCTAGATGGTCTGCTCAGTCAGGAACAGTGTTCCAGATGGTCTCAGGAACAGTGTTCAGGAACAGTGTTCTAGATGGTCTGGACAGTCAGGTACAGTGTTCCAGATGGTCTGGTCAGTCAGGTACAGTGTTCTAGATGGTCTAGTCAGTCAGGGAGAGTGTTCTAGATGGTCTGG